CTCGAACGCGGTGGGATGTGTTTCTCAACGAACGTCCTGTGTACTTAGCTGCGCAACACCAGGTAAACACATAAATACACATGGAATTAGACAGTCTAGGTAACATTTCTTTGAAGTTAAGGTGCACCAAAGGACAGTTAGATTAGGATATTCATAAACTTGCAGCAAAGAACCTTTTCTCAATGATCTCGTCAGACGATTCTTAAGTGTTTCACTCGCAGTGTCACCTCTAAATTCTAAGTTTAGGTGCAACACTTTTTTAGCTACCTTATCAATCATTGTATTTCTTCCGCGTACTTTGCTACTGGCCTCTACGAAGCGTAGTGTCCATTGTAATTGATATATTTGATTGATAAAGTTATATTTGTAAAATCTCAGCGAAATTGAAATGATGAATTTCAGCGTTTCGTTCGGCAATCTGGTCCGAACTTCTTCAGGGAAATTAATCGAAATTAACATAACAAAGGTTTATATATAAAAGGGACACCTCTTGTTTTTTAAATTTCGTCCAATCATGAACCATGCAACAGGTATCAACATGTATAATAAATAAATAAATAGAATTGCATGTTTATATATAAAAGTACATCTCTTGTTTTTTAAATATAAATCAAGAAACAGCTATCAATGGGCATACTAAACAAAACAACTATCCGGTCAAATCTTGATCATAGTTCATATGGATATATATGATTGTACAGCTTTATAGATGAAATCGTCAAAAAGAGAATTTTCTTCACTGAAAACCAAGTCACAATTTATAATGATACTGATATACCTCATTTGGGGAAATCTGTGATAAACTTTGATAAATTAGGTTTTCCAGCATGTTATTAAGCTACTCGAATAGATCAAATAGTTATATTTCACATTCACAAATAGACCCATGTAGCCAAACACTTTGTTAATATTTAATGTACCTTTAGACAAAATATGTAGCTGTTGTAATCGACATACCAAACAAAATTTAAAATAAATGGGTCAAAACTTGCGTTTGTCTAAAAATGAGATGGTGAAAATAAAATGTGGTTTCATAATCAAATTAGATTGTAATATTATGAAGTTAACGCATTAACGTTTTGATCTAAGATTATTGAAACGTCTAAATTGTATACTATTTTTATCACTCTTGTCCTCTGTGGAGCTCAGCATTTTTCTATTATATAAATTCGTACTTATATGTTAGATGTAGGGAAGAGTCAATCTTTTCATCGTCATTTACCTTTGTCAGAAATACTCATGTAATCTCAGAGAGACAGAGAGTTAACAAAAATTTCTCATACTGTAGACTTCATAGCTTAGATAAGCTCTTGCTGCTAGCTGACTAACACCTTATAACAAGCTAAAATGTAATGAACTTCATAGAAGTGTCTTAAAACTTAGCTTATTTACTACACTGAAAAAAACCTGATAGATAAATTTCCGTCGATGAATTTAGTACTAGGACTCACTCACGACGGCAGGTTACGGTCAATGTATACAGTAACAAGGCAGAAACTAAAATATATGAACTCCTGTTTATTTAGAGGTAGGGTGGTGACATTCTTATCATCAAGGTTGAAAATGTGAATAAAGATGTGCAACTCTAAAGAATGTCGGTGGCACAGTGGTTAGCACTCTCGCCGACCATGCACATGGTCCGGGGTTCGAGCCCACACCGGCGCACACCTGATATCAAATGGTCGGCCTGCAAAATTTGGGCTACCGATATCCATGCTGAAAATTCCATACTTGTACCAAAAATACAGTGTGGAATCAAGCTGTGAATCAAAAATCAAAAAAAACATAATACTTTTTCGGTGTTTCTTGATCATGCTTTACTTTTAATAAACCTACTGTACATCCATATTAGACAGGTGGAGGCCATCGTCTTGAAGCTCTGCACATAGGTTTCGTGCTTATCGGTACTCGTCACATCAATCTTGAAGGACTTCATGTCCTCCAATGAGATTCGAACCTGAGCCACCTAGTGCTGCATTACGAAGCATTACCACTGCGCTACTCGGCCTAGCGACTGATCTCCGGTAAGTCTGTAATAGGTACTTTGATTGGTCATCAGTTAGTGACCAATTTGACAGGTCTAGCACTTGGTATCGATGATCACTTAATTCTATGAGTTATCACAAACTTCTTAAGTCAGTCTAGTAGATTACTGGTGTCTTGTCTTTTTCATTGAAAATACGCAGGAAATGTACAGTTAAATACACTAATTCTTCAACTTTTTGTCTTACTAAGTTAATACTGCTACGAAGGACTTGTTTGACTAGTTGATGAGAAGGCATACTTTGACAGTTAACTTAAACTCTCTGACGTTCTGCATTTTCAGTCGCACAAAAGCCCAAATTCACTTTAACAGACAAATTATCGAAGAACAGATAGATGCCACTAAAGTCAACAATAAATCTAACCTCACTTCTACCAAGGCGACTCACTTCATTCTAAAATTACACAAAACGAAATTCAGTTGAATAAGTTCACAACAGGTAGCTGAAAGTTACATTTTAATTTTACGGTTCATACAAACTTTATTATAATTTTTCTGAAATATATGAAACTTTTCATAACGTTACTACTGTTTTCATGGATATAAACCTTTGAAAAAAGTGATTAAATGATGTGCAGCTGTTAACACGCATCAATCACAGAATATTATTATACCAACGAGTTCATTGTCAAAAATGATAAACTGAGTGAAGGAAAAGTTAAAGAATAGCGACCCACGGCATGCCAACACACGATTGACCTTGAGGTTACAAATCAAAGTAACCACTGTTTCTTGATTAGAAAGATACGGATGACATTTATGAATACCATAAAACTATTTACTAGAAAAATACAGATAATAAAAAATACACCTTAATTCCGACAGCAATCCTTACCCTATCCTAATCTCAACCATGATCACTACCCTAACCCTAAGGCTCTATAAACCCACTATCTTTACAGTACTTGAAAACGAGATCGGAATGAAATTTGCACCACATTTCGTGCACAGCTTGAATAGTGACACCATAATAATGGTAAGCTCGGTTATCCAACAAACAGTATGCTTTCAAGGTCTTCAGTGTGTTCGTACTCATGGATCGCTATTTCCACACTTGACCAACTGAACTTCTTCGTTAGCAGGTTCATGTTATTTGGTTAATAGTAGCTAGCCGTAGAATCCAGCATGTATATTTTCGCCTAATTAGGATTAAACCAACATCTGGTTAGAATAAAGATATCGTTGAGGCATCCGTATTAGAAGCTGAAGATTCAAGATAAACCGAGCATTTCTACCCAGCTAGATCGATAAACAAGGAATTCGAAGTATAATTACAATTTATTTACTCGACTCATTTGGAAAAGATTGGTGAAATAATAATGTAAGTGGCGGAATAAATATGCAGAGAGGACGTCGACTATACATCTGCAAATACTTCTATAGAATACCCTCGGTAAGTAGTTACTCAAGTTCTACATACACTCTACTGAAATTTTCATAAGATACAGCTAAGATGAGGCACTTTACATAAGGAAAGTAAACAGCCAAATATTTAATGTTATTGCCATATTAAATGTCCAGCATTTACTAAGTTTAGTACAGAAAGGTAGTATCCAAATTCTCTATTTCATAGTGAATTTCTTTCGTCCGACCCCTCTTCACTTAAGCAAGGTTATTTCATTCATTAGTAAGTAACTATTAAGTCTTCATACATCAGGTGCTGTCAGGTTTTTCTAGCGTGAAGGGTTAGAGAACAATGAACAGTTGTCGTTATCTTGATCTAAAAATGTTTTCCATCATTTCGGGCTTAAGAATATCTCCACTTATCGATAAATAACTAATATAACTAAAAATAACAGGTGATTTAACCTAGATTAAGGAAAAATATTTCATATACAACTAATTAGATATCAGTCTGTCCATCCTGACAGTAATTTTATTTTCACCCCTGATTTTCTCTTCGTTCAATAAATACAAAATCCAATTAACTGAAAAAGAAATAGAGGAATCAATAAACAACTGTCAGAAATGTTGTATCGCCATCAAAGTACTGTTTACGCTCTTTAGTTTATTTCGTACTATTCTCTAGCGTTATATTTCTAATGTTTAATGGATTTAAATGTGGAATTTCGCTTGTTCAACTGACTTTAAGGTAATATTGTTATTATTCCCTTTGGCTTTTAGTCGAGCACAGGGTCTCATCACCACATCTCCATTTTGTCCTCTCACCTCGTCATCTCACACAATCCCCTCCGTCTCACCCTCAGACCTACTCACAACTCTTCATTTCTCGTTGTGATTCCACTCGAGGATATGGCACGTGGTATCAGTTAACTGTCTCCTCAACCGATGCCCTATTCACCGCCATTTTCTTTGGTATATCTATTAAGAAAAATGTTGTTGATCAGCTCGTTCTCGGAGTTTCTTGCAGCGAATTTTCTCTAGCCCTCTGATCTTCCCTATGGGGCCAAGGCAATTGTTGATAGAAGTCTGAAGAGTGTAAGACTTTAAGGTGGATATAAATCACTGTTCATTAGTCACTCATCCGAAGGTAAAAATCCTGCAGTATTGATAAGCGGTCGTGTCCAGTGAGGTCGTAAATATTATACGTAAGTATATTTACTGATTTTTGATATTGAGATGAGGTGGCACTAGTTGACACATTTATAGAAGTTAAAAATTCGTAAGCCATTAATTCGTGACCATGTAAACAGATTTTCTGGAATTCGACTCCCACTGGGGTCATGAGTATACCCCATTTGGGAGTCCAGAATCAAGAAGACATTTCTCCCAATTAATAATAAATTAAGTGCATATTAAAACTAGCGGTGTAACTAAATGTCTAGCCTCATTTATTTAATACTATTAACATTGAAAGTTCCTAATGGTATTTTTATATTTATGTTAAGTGTAAGCTATGAGAAATCTCAAATTGTAGAATCCATTTACCGACATAAAAAGGTCTAGTCATAATTAAACCGACTTAATTAATCAATGATCAATATCTGTATCTCAATTATGTAGACTTATCTATGTGTGTAGTCATATCATGTATGATGAACCTAACATGTTCATGTTGATTTAACTTTTCCAATTCCAATTTCAGATTGACTGTGTTATTATTATTATTAATAGCAGTATTAATAGTAATGATAACAGTAGTAGTAGTAGTAGTAGTAGTAGTAGTAGTAGTAGTAGTAGTAGTAGTAGTAGTAGTAGTAGTAGTAGTAGTAGTAGTAGTAGTAGTAGTAGTAGTAGTAGTAGTAGTAGTAGTAGTAGTAGTAGTAGTAGTAGTAGTAGTAGTAGTAGTAGTAGTAGTAGTAGTAGTAGTAGTAGTAGTAGTAGTAGTAGTAGTAGTAGTAGTAGTAGTAGTAGTAGTAGTAGTAGTAGTAGTAGTAGTAGTAGTAGTAGTAGTAGTAGTAGTAGTAGTAGTAGTAGTAGTAGTAGTAGTAGTAGTAGTAGTAGTAGTAGTAGTAGTAGTAGTAGTAGTAGTAGTAGTAGTAGTAGTAGTAGTAGTAGTAGTAGTAGTGGCCAAGTGAAGTAGAGTGTTAAAATGCATGTTTCCTAGCATATTTTTTTTCAACATGACACTATTAAGCCTAGTTTATTCAGGCAAACTCATTCTGATCTTCAGGTAATGATGTAAGTCAGACAATACATAAAAATTCTTATCACACTGACTAATTATGATCAACTTGTTCTTAACAAAATAGACTAAATAGATGAGAAGTTATGTTTTGTAAAGAAAGCCACTGAACTAACTCACATAAAATATCCTAAACTTGATTATAACTCCTAAAGAAATAATAATAATATTTGCGGTGAAGAAAGGTATGTTAGTGTAAATGATAAAATATACGTCTATTAAAAAGTCAGTGTTAACTCGTACACTGACTATCTTGAAAGGGATTCAATGAACAATGCACGCTTCGATGAGTGTACTTGTAAGATTCGATTTAGCACTTACATTAATCATTTCAGGATCCAAATTTGTACACAAAGTGTTGAAGTTAGGTGTTTCATACAATTAGTCATGTCTGTTGAATGTTTGATATGAAATTAAACGATATATATATATGCTGACTAATTAACATAAGTAGTTAGAGAGTTCCATTGCTTAACATAAGAGTGTTTTATTCAACCACGCATATCAGTCAGTAGTAAGTATCTGAATGCATTATATTTAAGAAAAGATAATAAGAGTGAAATTGAATGACTACTTTCCGTTTGACTAAATTTTTCTGTTGTTAATTGGTGGATGGTGACCAGCAGTGGAATCCAGTAAGGATTCGCATTTCGTCTTATTTGGGAATCGTCAGTTGGATGGACCTGCATTACTCAGTAAGCCATAATTTTCCCACCGAGGCTCGAACCCAGTGCCCATAGTTTCAAACGCCAAAACGTTATCCACTGGACCAACTGTGCTACGACAGCTAACCTTTGTGCAACCGGTCATATTAATTATTTAATTCAATTTTAGATTTTCCCGTCGATTGACTGGACCAAAGTGCTCGGTCTCAGGTGGCTCTCGTAGCCCAGGTGGTCCGATGGATAACGCTTTGGCGTTTGAAACTATTGGCACTGGGTTCGAGCCTCGGTGGGAACATCATGTGCGTCAGTGGCACACTGGTTAGGACTCTCGCCGACATGGTCCGGGGTTCGAGCCCACGCCGACGCACACCTGATATCTATGGTCGGCCTGCGAAATTTGGGCTACCGACATCCACGCTGAAATAATTCCATACGTGTACCAAAAATACGGCGTGGAATCAAGCTGTAATCAAAAATAAAAAATAATAATCACTCACTGAGAAATGCAGGTTCATCCAACTGACGAGTCCAAAGTGGGACGAAATGCGCTTTATCCTGGATTCCACTGCTAGTCACCATCCACCAATTAACTTCTAATTACATGCCCAGACATCACTAAAACATCTGCACAAGAATCCGACATGTCAACCTGAGATCGAGCACTTCGATCCAATCAATTGACGGGAAAATCTAAAATTGAATTAAACAAATTATTCTGATATTAGCTATTTTTCTATCAGTCTTACACTTAGTATGTAGTAATGATGAGTCTTCATAGAAGTATTTAAAACGCAACTAATAGCATATATTGTTCATCATAAGAATAAAAAGTGATTTTCTATATTCTTAATACTCGCTTCAGATCGCTAAGAACACACTATTTCATTCTAACCCTCGTGGATAAAGAGACATAAACTAGAAGTAATTGTCACAAATGTCACACCAAAAGCACCTGTTGATAAAGTTCTGCGACAGGCTGTTAGAAATGTTTTTGGCGACGCGTTCACCAATTCTCTGAACCATATAGAAGCACTGAATGACTCAGCATTAGTGTTAAATATCCGAATCCTACTCTTTACGCTTAATGAAATAGATTTCCTTACTGATTTGAGATTAATGGATGTTGGTCTTGCCTTTTCGATCCTGGCTTTGACATATTCATCACTGCCGTATGTCTTCCCTGTGTTCACTTGAAATCATGTCTTCGCTGCAAGCCTATGCTGCCAAATTGTTGGTTTTCGACTGCAGAGCTTCAAGGTTACGTAATATCTTTTACAAATCATTCTCAACTAACCATTATATTATTTCTTATAGACTTTCTTCCTTCGTGTAACGTAGTAAATGTGATAAATGTAACTGGAAAAAATATCAGTATACATGTAAAGAAGCCATCGTGGTTCACAAGTTGAGTCATTGAACAAAATATTCTTTAAGCCGACCAGACAGAAGTTTAGAAATGCTTTTCCATTTTTGTGTAAAAGTGATAGATTATTGTATTTGGTAGAATACCAATCTGAATCGATGTTAAATATTTTAACAGGCGATCTCCAGAATCTAGGTCTCAAGGTTTTTGGCACTCGTTTGCATTGCGTCTCTGAAACATCATAAGACACTGATGACTGGTAGAATAAAGTCACCACCAGCGCTAAGGACATTACGTGACATTGACTCCTCCCTAGTGACCACTCAGTAAACGCATTACAAAAGGTGAGTCGTTAGTCAGAATATCTCGGTGGTGAAATCTTTGACTACAGTAGTGGCTGATGTGGGTTCGAATCTCCGAGCGGACATTCGTTCCTTCGGTGCTGCAGATACACGAGTGACATCGAGCACGAGACCTGAGTCTATGAGATCTTAGTGATCTCCTGAAACCATCTGTTGTCACTACGAAGTGTACCACTTTTTTGAGTCACTTAACCTAGTGACCACAACGCAAACTTGACCTATTCAATTTAATCAGCGCCAACATCAAGGACTTCACAGGTGGCACCGCATATTCCCGAGCGACTAATTGGAGTATCAGTCTACTGATAAATTGTTAAGTTTCTTTGTTATTCAGGATTTCATCATGAGCTGACATTAGTTAGAGAACCATTGGAAAACCTGGGAGTACTGGACAGCTGTTTCGTCCTAGTTTGGGACTCTTCATCAGTACGCACCCACACCATGGGGTTCAAACCCAGGACCTTCCGGTTACATGGCGAGATCGTAAACCATTGAGCCACTGGGACCCGATCCAATGGTCCTTGAATTCTAACTTCTGCCAATTCACGATATAGCACGACCGCTAGTGGGTGCGTACTGCTGAAGAGCCCCAAACTAGGACGAAACAGCTTTCCAGTACTCCCAGGTTTTCCAATGGTTCTCTAACTAATGTCAGCTCATGATGAAATCCTGAAACCAATTAAATCCCTACAAACCAACACTTTTGCTTTCGTTGGAGGATCGGTGTCCACTGAGAGTTCCGTGCATGCTGTTAGTGGTGAATGAGTTGCAGGTGATGGTCGATTCAGGAGTCCTTGAGATTGATCAGCCCATTGTTTCATGTGTCCCTCGTCTCTGGTAATTAGGTTTCCTTAACCATCTCTCATTTGTTTCATGTCGATCGATCTCTTCCTGGAGAGAGACCTGATTATCTAATATAATGTTCTGAGGTCTCTTTTACCTGAGATCTACTTGTTCTGCTTCAGCTGACAGTGTGTTGTAGAAGATCCTTTTGTCTTTCCTAGCACTCTTCCTCACCTCTGTTTTTATTCAGAGTAGTGTATATTGAACTCAGCTTCTCCTTCTGTTGTTCATCCTTGCATTGAGTCATCTTCTCTTTCACCATCCTCTTCTCTTCTATTGGCTTCCAAGAGTCCGTTGAGAGCCGTTCGTTGCCTCGCCTCTTCTTTCTTTCTTTCGAAAACGACTATACAGGTTCACTTTAAGATCACTTCTGGAGAGCTCCAGTGCCCTGATAAAAATGTCTTCTCACTGTTGCTGCATAGTGTTCCCTACTTTGCTCTGATGGCTTCAGTGGAATTGTCCTTTGTAGATTGGTCCTGTAGTTTATGTGTTAAACTCGGATTATGGCATATTTTTAACCCCTTTGAAGGCTTGTAACTTGACGCTGAATTTTCCTTGCAATGCATAATGGTTTAAGTTGGCGTCTGCTCCACTTCTTAATTTTGTGTTCAGGAGTTTGAGACTGAGGTAAAGACTGTCTGACTTTTCGTGTGTCTATTAGAAGAAACCCATGTTGCTTTGTGTATGTTCTTGTGTTTGTACACGCTGTCTCAAGCACAAAAAAGGTGTCCGTCGTCGTTTCACTGACACATGATGATTTTTCTTCCCTTATTGTCTGCTCACAGCTTAGCATCCATATCGCTAGTTAGAATTTTTACGTCTCCACTTGGGATTTTATCCATTCCTGCTCACAACTGACTGTAGAATTAATCATTCTTCTCTTGTTCTTAGTTAATTGTAGGCACGCAGTATAGGATAACTGGTGTTAGTGACATCATGACAAGCACTCTCTCAGTCTGCTAGTGGTTGGCATCTTAGTGATTGAAGTAGTAGTGCACAGTCAAAAATTTGGATGATCCCCAAACATTTCACCTACTCTCACAGATTCCTAGCACTTCTATACAATATCTCCTCATCTCCTTGCCAATCTGAGCAGCCCTCCCAGCTTAGAACACTATGCGGACATTTGATCTCTCCATTCTCATTTTTGCTTCTATCGAATGAAGACACTTCGGCTGATTGATTTTCTTCTGCCCGCGTCATTCTGCCTTTTGGATTTTAGTGAAGATTAGGTATATTTCCGATGTTTTCTATGAGTTGAAGCTTCTGTAGCAATTAGGCTGATTTCCTTTGGTTAGATCACCTACCCTGTGTCCAACACTTTCTCTCTTTCCAGGCTTTAGTGCCGACTAGTGAAATAGACGGGGTTACACAACCAGTATGGTTGTGGACAATACAATAAAATGTTTGACAGTTAATCAGTTAAATAAAATAGAAATGCCTATTAATAGCCATTCGGGTTTTAGTAAGTCAAGCAGACAAAGGTTGAAGTCTATCCCAAACTATATGTACATGAAACTGAATGATTGCCAAATATTTTATTTTATTGTTACCACTCATGTTAGTTGCAAAGTTTCAGTCGTATAGAAGCTACGAAATGATATCATCTCGCAGGATTTGTCTTTCTCAATGTACCGAATATCCCTTCCTTTCCAGTTAACCATTATCTATAGAATTAGA